TAAGGTACAAACAATCAAATTTCAGAATGCTCTTCAGCTCCATGAATCTATTTACTCAAACTCGGAGGCTGTGGAGAGTGTGGTTTGAAGCCCAGCATCGCTGCTGATTTGCTGTCTGACCTGGGACACCCACAGCCTCCCAAAACCTCACTTTCCCCATCTGTACAATGGTAACAAAAATAATTGTAAGAAGCTCTTGGATGCTGAAGGATTAAATGAGACAATGCAAATAAAGTGCTCTGTCCCATGCCTGGTGCACAGTCTCTCCTTCAACAGTGTCACCCAGGTGTCTGTGTACCGGGCATCTCTTTTGGGTGAGGTCTCCTGCTCCAGGAATTCCAGCTCTAGCCCTGGGAGGAGGAGAGGCTGTCATCCAGCTTAAGGGCTTCACAAAGATGACTGGGGGCAGGTTGAATTTTCACCGCCAGTGCTGACTTCAGAAGAGATTCACTCAAAGTACTAAAACCCAGGCTCCAAATCTCATGCCATTTCAACTGGTCACCTACCCCCCAGGATTCACTTTCTCACTGGTGAAATAGGGGGGGCAGGGTAGCACCAGATCTGCTTGTTTCACAGGATGGCAAGTGCAAAAGTGGCGGTTGTCTTGTTGTTGCTGTTTTGTTTTTGTTGTTGTTCTTATCACCAGAGGTCAGGGAGAGTTTTGTAATTAGCTAAAGTTGGGTTCTTTTTGTTTGGTTTGGATTGGGTTTCCTGTTGGGGTTTTTTGTTGTTGTTGTTTTTGTTTGTTTGTTTGTTTTGCCTGATTTTTAACCAAGTGTCCTTTCCTCTTTGGGTGATCCCATTTCTCTCTCTTACCTCCCTTCCCCCAATGCCCTAAATCCTACTCACATCCTATTCTCCCATGAGCCCCATAAACTCCATCCCCGCCAACCACACCTACATTCTTTTCTTTTTTTAAAATATATTTTATTGATTTTTTACAGAGAGGAAGAGAGAGGGATAGAAAGTTAGAAACATCAATGAGAGAGAAAGAGAAACATCGATCAGCTGCCTCTTGCACACCTCCTACTGGGGATGTGCCCGCAACCAAGGTACATGCCCTTGGTCGGAATATTACCTGGGACCTTTCAGTCCGCAGGCTGACGCTCTATCCACTGAGCCAAACCAGTTCGGGCCACACCTACATTCTTTTGTCCAGATTTCCCTCCTCCCTCATCCTGGTCAATCTTTGGTCCTGTGACCTCTTCCCTCTGGCTTTCAGCCTCAGTTTTAAAACCAAGAACTTGACCTAGTTACCGTGTGACAGGGTGTGGTTTGATTGGTCAGCTTCAGCAGCAGCTGGTAGTCTTGCTCTGAACTGTTACAAGGATCCTTGGAAAGAAACGCATTCGTGAATGCCTTCCCTATCTGGCCGCAGTCTTTATGTCTGTGAGATAAAACATGGAAAATAGAGTGAAGCATGAATAATTAGATTTCGAACATACTTTTGGAGCATAGTTACCTGCCCCCTTCCGCCCCCCCCCCCCCCCCCCGGGAAATAT